TGTTTATAAATTACCATAACATAAATGTTTTATATTTATATGGACTATGGACATAATATGGTATTATGATAGGTGGAGGTAAGTAAATAATATAGTACAGGCGTACGGTATAGTATTATAAATAAATCTACYGACTGGCGACTACCATAAATATATACGTTATTCAGTTGAAATAAAATGTTACTAATTTAAATAATTTACCTTTTTGATGATAGGATGAAATGTTTCAAGATAGTGATCAAATTTATTTCTTCCAACAATTTCTTTAACTCTGTCCAAACAGTAAACTGCAGCTTGTTGAAATGTAGCTTGTACCATTTTGTTGGATAAGGCAGTTACAAGATGCACAAACGTAGGTATGGCAATCTAAAAAAAATATACTAATATTTTAAAGTCCAAATTGATTGTGTTTAAATTGTAGTGTCTCAAACCATAATACTTGTCAAAATATAATAAAATTCGATCATAAGAACTTAATATTATTTACCATTAATTGGGAAATTTTTTTTACATAACAATTTATAATTACAATTTAGTACAATTTATTTAATGACATTTAAAATGATGATATACGATAATTATTGTTTTAATAGATCATTATTGATAAATACAATGCTTCGCATTTTTTGTGTCATCAACAATTAAGATCCTTTACCAATATTTTAGCACCATAAGTTATGAAATCTATTATTCTAAAATTACCTTTTATAAATATGTTTTTACAACTTGCAAACTTAAAAGTTAAAACCATTTTAAAACTTAGAAATCAGTTATTATGGCATTAGCTATAATAGCTTCCCTATAATTATACTGCATCACTATAAAATATGGTATGTAGCTATTATATTTATATTTACATCGCTGAATTTCGAGTATAAAATATATATATTATATACCTTATTATAAGGATCACCTATACGGCTATACATAATAATTATATTTTTTTGTATGTAATACAATTCAAATAGTCGCATTATTTAATTTTTTTYCCACTCACTGGTCGTTCTCCATTTCTCTTAACGATTTGCTGAAGTACTACAGGAACGCATTCCATAACATTCACGGTGAGACTCGATTTGGCACCAGGTACATCCAATCCTTGTACGATCATGGACTTAAGAACGAATTCAGGATCAGCCGAGTGTTGTACGTAAATCAATATTGCATCCATAGAGCTACTTCTGAGAGCTGGTGAAAAGTGTGCAAGATTCGAAATGACCGCCGGGAGTATTGTTGGGGACATCAATAGATCCAGTTGTGGGCCGACTGCTGGTATAACGTAAGCCAGCACTCGCGAACCGTGAAGTCTCACCTGAAACGTATTATTGCGTACAATGTGTTCTGTTACAGCCTTAAAGAAAAAAGCTACATCACCCCAACTACCCCTATTTTAGTTTTAATTTAACTTTTTGTGGTTGCCAATTTGGTATACAAATTCTAAGACTTGCATCTCGTAGGTATATGAATAGCGAGTATATAAGTATACCTACTAAAAAAACTATAATAAAGTTATAACTTGGGTATATAAGTGACAAGTGCATGGATAATTTTTGTCGTGAAAATAATGTGGTATAAACGWAAGCCGATTTAATCTGTTGACAGCAAATAATATCTATTAACAAAATGAATCCTTGAGTAAAATTTGCAGGAAAACACGCCTAAAAAAATAAATTAAAAAAAATATGATATTTAAACCAATCCTGGTTTCGTAACGTTTTACCGATACTATTGCGTCAAATACACAGACGTCATAGTTCAATATACATGCAACATAATCGTATAAGTACTGCACAATCGCAACAGCCATTCGGTAAATATATTCCGCGCTTGATGCACCGACCTGCCATTCGGGATGCTGCAGTCGGACAGCCAGCTCGTCGAACACTTCCTGTCGGTCGACGTGGGTCGGGAACCGGTTCTTCTTGATCACGTACTGCCAAACGGGAGTCAGCTCCA